CGTGGTGTAGCGGAAGTAGTCGTCGACCAAGACCAGGAAGTAGCGCTCATGATGGTGCCCACGGACTGGGGTTGGGCCCCAGACCTCCATGTGCACAGTCCGCAGAGGAGCCGTGGTGGGGGGAAACTCGGAGGAGTGAGGGGCGGCGCACTGCCGACCCTCGACGCAGAGGGAACACGGCGGCGCAGGCGAGCGGGGAAGTGGGGCAAGTGACAATGGGAGACTTTAGGGATACGACTGTTCTTGTGGCGGACTCGTCTGAGAGCGTTAGGAGCTGAAAACTTGCACGATGGTGGGCGGAATTGTGGCAAGCGTGATCTTGCATGGCGCTCCAGGAGAGGAACAATTTTGCTTCACTTTCTATACCGGTGCGGATTTCGCGTGGTTCGGGGCCCAGAAACGCTCATATAGGACTGTTGCCGTGGAGGACTTGTTTGAGGGCGATAGGAGCTGGTATTTTGCTCGACGGTTGGCGGGATCGTGGCAAACATGATTGTGCCTGGCGCTCCAGGAGAGGAACAATTTTGCTTCACTTCCTATACCGGTGCGGATTTCGCGTGGTTCCGGGGCTAGAAACGCTCATTCAGGGATACGACTGTTGCTGCGGCGGGATCGTTTTAGGGCGTTAGAAGCTATACCAGACGGTTGCAAACCATCTGACTGAGACTCGGGAAAGACGGGTGACCGAGACGGTGGTGCCAGAGGACCGACGGGTGTGAAACTTATCGACAGTCGCACGACACAGCAACTACCTGACCTGACGCAGCTACCCGACGAGACTCGGCACGTAGAGAGTAAAGACCTGAACACGGCACCCTGTGGAAAGTGGCCAGAGGTGCCCCAGTGGCACCAACTGTGCTGGTGGCAACACGCCCATCCGAAGGAAAGAGGGTGGCAGCACCTAGGTCCTGAAGGTGACTGACACCCACCAAGTTCCTGGAGAACGAGGGGACGTAGAAACCTGTGAGGAACCCAGACGGGGCCGTTGGGCACGGGAGTGTAATGGTGATGTGAGCAACTACAGGTCCTACGGTGGGTCAGCCAAGGGGACAGAGACTGGAGTGCGTAGCGACATAAGGTCGGTGCAGTCGCGAAAGAAACACGGAGACGCTCCAGAGTTAAGCGTGAAGGACAGCGGCGCAGAAGCTGAGGTCGTACCTGGGTCAGCGACAAAGGCAATAACTAGGCTAGCAGCAGCTGCAGCTCCTACACATGGACCCGCGTAAGCACTAAGGCTAGTCAAGCCTGAGTAGTGAGCCCCATAAGCACGAGGGGCAGCAGGAGACCGGACAAGGGCAGAGTACCAAGCATTGTACAGTGCTGACATATCCATGGTAAACACCTGGTAGCCCAAACTAACCCACGAAGCCCGGTGCGGGGCGGCTGTGGCGGTGCCAAAACGCTGGAAGTAGAGGTCGGTGAGGCGGTCGAAACACTGATCACGGATGTGCATACGTCCGAAGGCCTGATTGAGGCACATACCAAACCGGGGTACGTACTGACAAGGTCTGACATGGCCCGACTGCTGAGGCTGCTGCTGGCGCTGCTGCTGAACTCGCAACAGCTGGTGCTACTGCTGCCGACACGGCTGCTGCTGCGGCCACTGCAGCTACTGCTGCTGCTGACGCCACATCGACATGGTAGTCTAGGACGAGGGGGAGGGCACGGGCTAGTCTAGGCGGCAGTACGAATACGAGCGACAGTGGTGGCCGCCCTGTGGGCGGCAATGGGGGAGGCAAAACTAGTGACAGTACGGGCGGAAAGACGGACAGCAGTACGGGCGGTAGTACGAGCGGCAGTACGAGCGACAAAACGAGCAGTAGTACAGACGGCAGTACGAGTAGTAGGACGGAAGGTAGTGTGAACGGCAGTATGGACGGCTGTACGAGTGGTAGCACGGGCGGCAGTATGTGCAGTAGGCACGGGCGGTACAAACGGCAGGACATATGGCAGTACGGGCGCCAGGAAGGCCTATGCTGCTGCTGGCGCTACTGGCAGCGGCCTATGCTGCTGCTGGTGCACTAGCGGCAGTTGCTGGCGCATGCTGGCGCTTCCTGGCGCTGGCTGGTGCTGGCTACAACCCTTTTTTGTTTTTTGCCTAGGCAAGGGGCGTGGCGGCGGCTTAGGCAAGGGTGCGACCTCCAGCCTAGGCAGGCGTGACCGGCGGCCTAGGCAAAGGATGCGGGGGAGGGGGGGGGGGGGGGGGGGAGGCGCGAGGGAGCGGTAGGTGACGGAAACGCGGGGGGGGGGAGGGTGTCGAACTATATTTTATATAGTTTGCATTTGTTAGTTTAGGTGGTGTGCACATATATGCTAGGGTTAGGTTAGGGTTGACCTATATCCTTGTTGCATGCTTCATTCTAGTCCATTCATTCCGTAGTCCCTTTCTTGAGATGGTATAGAGCGAGTAGTTTCGTTTCGATGGGCCCGCCGCCCCGCGCCCCGTCCTAGCCCGCCCGTTGACCGTAGCCCGTAGCGCCCCGCCCGTAGTACCCTGCCCATAGTGCCCCGCTCGCGCACCTCCCTCCCAGACTGCCCGTCAGGCCGAACCCGCACGCGCACGCACGCGCTGCCACCCTGGCTCCCCGTAAACCCGCTACCCGCGCCCCGCAACCCTTACCCGCACTCGCGGCAGCACGCGCTGCCCGCACAGACAAACGCGCAGCCTAGAAGTAGCCGCACGCGTAGCCTGCCCAACCGAGCGCGCAACCCGCACGCACGAGCGTACGCAACCGCACGCACGCGCACGCGCGCAGCTGCTCACACGGACGGCTGCCGACCCGCTACCCGCTACCCACACCCCACCCACTACCCGCACCCAGCCCGCTACCCGCTACCCGCATCCGACCCGCTAACCGCACCCAGCCTGTTAACCCCCCACCCGTCACCCCGTGCCCACTGCACTTCAGCCGCGCGCGCACGCCAGCTACACGCACGCTCGCACAGCAGCCGCGCACGCACGCGTGCAGAGCAACCGCACGCACAGCCGCGGCAACCCTCCCCCCCCCCCCCCCCCCCCCCCCCCCACACCCTGCACCCCGCAGTCGGCCCGCAACCCGTACCTGCACCCCTGAACCGCCCGACACCGCACTCAACCGCACTCTACCGCACCCAATTGCACTCAACCGCACTGGACCGCGCTAGACCGCATCCGGCCGTGCCTGATGACGACTGGTATTTTCCCAGGATGGCTACGTAAGCTCAAGCTGTATCTCGGGAGTAGGATCGAGAATGACGTGCGCCTGCTGGAGCACGCCACTGGCAAGCTCGCGGCTCCAAAGGATCCCCACCCCCGAGGCCCCACCCCGTCGAAGGAGGAGGAGGCCCGCTTTGACAAGGCGCAGTTGGCGGCCAGTCGCTGGGCGGCGCGTGACGATGCTACCGTCCTCGCCATCACTGACCTCCCCCCTACTGTCTGAGCAACCCCACTTTCGACCAGGAGGTGACGGCCAAGGGCATGTTTGACGCGGTAGTCAAACGCTACTCCACCCCGACCACTGTGTCCCTCGGCCGTCTGGTGCTGCCCTTCCTCTTCCATGACCTGCCCTCGTTTCTTCGCGTTGTTGATCTCATTCAGCAACTGCGCTCGCTCGGCCGTCTGGTGCTGCCCTTCCTCTTCCCTGACCTGCCCTCGTTTCTTCGCGTTGTTGATCTCAGGGTACATTCCTAGCTCGTGTCATACTTCCGGTCTTCCGGGGATGACACGAAGCTGCCCCACAGTTGGGCCCACTTTGGGTCATCCGAGACTCATGCATTCGGGCTGCATGCTGAATTCGGGCTGCATGCTGCCGTCCCGTCCCGTCCCGTGCCGCGCCGCGCCGCGCCGCGCCGTGCCGTGCCGTGCCGTGCCGTGCCGTGCCGGGCTGGGGCTTTGCTGTGCTGCGTGGTGAGAATGGCCATGGTGGTTCCGTTCCATCACAATGCAGAAAGCTGGACGGTTCAAATGTGCACGGGCCCGTGCCCACTGCCCTTTCCCGCCTCACTCGACTTGCCGAACTGTACGGCCGTCTCGTGTGTATGTGCATGCATGGATGTGTGTGTGTGTGTGTGTGTGTGTGTGTGTGTGTGTGTGTGTGTGTGTGTGTGTGTGTGTGTGTGTGTGCGTGTGTGTGTATGTATGCATGTAGGTATGTATAAGCGATCGGACCACAGGGCCAAAAGCAGGGCTGGCTTGAGTCGACTTGTGGGGGGCTAAAACAAGGCGAGGTGTGTGGATGCATGCTTGTGAACTCAGACACTGGTTCGACTGGAATGGAACCAAAGGGCCGAAGAAAAGGCCCAGGTTTGACCTGACATACTGCTCTGCTCAAGCCTTGTAGAGAAGTGAGGTGAGGTGAGGTGATGTGAGGTGAGGTGAGGTGAGGTGAGGTGAGGTGAGGTGAGGTGAGGTGAGGTGAGGTGAGGTGAGGTGAGGTGGGGTGGGGTGGGGTGGGGTGGGGTGGGGTGGGGTGGGGTGGGGTGGGGTGGGGTGGGGTGGGGTGGAGTGGGCTGGGGTGGGGTGGGGTGGGGTGGGGTGGGGTGGGGTGGGGTGCTGTGAGGTGAGGTGTGAGGTGCATCAAAGCTCGTACGCATGCAGGTGCTCGCATGCACACCCGTAGGGTTGAGCAAAAAAACGAACACCTGTTCGGTTCGCCTCGAACGTGTTCGAGGCGAACCGAACAGGTTTGTTTTTTTTGCTTAAAGTGTTCGCCAAACAGTGTTCGAGGTTCGCCCGAACACGTTTGTGTTCGGGCCGCTGCTGCAATTTGCCCCGCGACGAACACGAACGTGTTCGAGGTTCGCCCGAACACGCCTTCACAGGCGAACGGCGAACACCCGTACCCACATCTTTTCACTGCATGACACACCTCCAAACGATTTCCGTGCTTTCTGTGCTCCCTCCCTCTTTCGCTCACTATATCTCCTTTCTCGGCGTCTCATTGTTCCTTCCTTTCTCCCTCGTCCTTCTCACCCCTTTCCTTTCCGCATTCACCTCTTTGTTACATTATTCTCAATGGCAGCACCCTGCATTTCAACAACTTGACCGCACCCATTTCCTTCCTGCACCACTTCAGCCTTCTCACCTACCTGTGATTCCTCCTCCCCTAACCTTGTGCCCCCGCCCACGCCCTCGCCCTCCTACTCTCCCTCCCGTTCGCTCGCGCTCTTCTTCCCTCCACTGACCTTTGCTCATACCTGCCTTTTCCATTCCTGTGTGTTGGGTGTGTGTTGTTCTGCTCGTTCTCCTTCATTCGCTGCACGTTTTCTAGGGAGAGAAATGCTGCTATGAGCAAGCAATGCAATGGCGATAGAGTGGAAGGAATCATACAGAGGAAGTTCAGTGCAGTGCAGCGAGGATGATGGTACAAGGTCAAGGCTTGTGGATTATTTTTTTCCAGTTTTCCAACTACTCTACTCTTTCACTCCCATCACATTTGCTACAGCTGAATGTCTTACACACCCTCGATTTCTCTGCTCTCCACCCTCTGCCTTCTTCCCTCTGCCCTCTGCCCTCTGCCCTCTGCCCTCTGCCGTGCCTGTAGTGACCTCTCCTTCACTAACTTCTACGGGCCCATCCCCTCTTCCATCTCACGACTCTCTCTACTTTTCCACTTGTGAGCACATGTATCCTCCACCCGTCAGAATCTTTTCAGATGCAAAATGTAAGGAAAGCGGCTGCATCAGTAGCTTCCTGGAGAACACAGTCATGCATGCCACATGCCACATGCCACATGCCACATGCCACATGCCACATGCCACATGCCTCGTGCCACGTGCCACATGCCACGTGCCACGTGCCAGACATTACACATGTCGCATACGTGTCTCCTCTCCTCTCCTCTCAACCATGCAGTATGCCACATGGCACATGCCACATGGCACATGCCACATGGCACATGGCGCGTGGCGCACGGCGCATGTCACATGTCACATGTCACATGGCAGGAACCTTGAAATAACCAGGATTTCGGGACCCATTCCCTCCACCATCTCAGCACTCCATAAACTCGGAGATTTGTAAGCTTTGTATGGGTGCTGCCATGCATGGGGGCTGCCATGCATGGGTGCTGCCATGCATATATGCGGTCAGTCAACAGCATGAGCGTCAGTGGTTTTCTATCCCGTGCCTGTCTCATTCACTCCATAGCACATGCATTCCACCCTAGCGATTCTCACATGACACTACCCTCCCATTCCCTCCCTCCCCATTCACGCATATTCTTTTCCACATGCATTTGTGTCTCGTCCATAGCCCCAACCGCTCCTCTCTCTATGCTGCATCCACGCCCTCGTGGCCGTCCGTCAGGATTCTATCCAACACCAGTATTTCAGGTTCCATCCCCTCCACCATCCCCGGCCTCTCCTCTTTCACCTACTTGTCAGCGCCCCCCCTCTCCGAATGGTCCGTTGTATTAATAAGCACTATGCATACAAGCATGCAAGATTGATGGTAAGGCAATCATCCTACTCGCCACCCGCCTGGTCCACAAAGGGTCCAAGCGGGGGTTCTAGGAGTTGAAACAGGTAACCTTCAGCTAGGGGTTCGATGGCATCCGCAATCCCAGCCTCATCCGCCTCCATGGCAGTGTGAGTTTTCAGATTGAGGGCGTGCGCCTGCCCGCGCTGCAGAGTGATACTCCAGCGCTGCCTGTACTCGTGGAACAGCTTGGCTGCTTCCGCTGAGGTAGGGGGGGCGTTGAAACGCAGCTTGGCGGCCAGGTCAGCGCACATCTTCAGAAACTCGAACACTCCCGGTGAGGTACAGCCGTAGGTCTCGACCGCCATGGGGATGAACCCCACCCAGTCATTCCTTATTGCATACTTGTCCGTCTTCTTGTCTGCGGCCACACGGGCAGCCCACCCCGTCCCTTTTCGTGCGTACTTGTCGCATTTTGAGATGGGGTCGGTGACAGTGACGTCACAGATGTGTATACGGCCGGTGATGGGATCGCGGATCGAGAAGTCCGCGAATAGGTTTTCGACCGTCGTATACTGCGCTGTTTCCTTGTGGACTGTGTAACCAGCTTCTTTGGCTATGCGGGCGCATTCATCCCGCAGGGCATGGTGCGTGCTCGTCCGTCCCTTCCCTGTCCCACAGCGCAGCAGGTGGTTTGGCAAGCGGCTGTCCAGGATCTTGACAGCCTTGGTGCAGTCGCATTGGCGCGGGATTGGGTGGGGGAGGCCCAAGCGGAAGAGGATGGATTGGGAGTAGTGGGCGGGGCAGAGTCGAAGGGCGCTCGTCAGGGGCAGTGCCGCCAGCCAATCGCCAGCTCCTGGTCCGAGGAGGGATAGGAGGCGTTGCGTGTGGCCCATGAGCGGGTTCGGGGACATGCGCCGGCTGCTGCGGACGCCGGCGACAGCCTTAGCCGAGTGGACGTGCAGCGCCAGTGCGTGTTGCAGCTTCAGCCCGTCCCCCTTCTCTCGCCCGACCTTCATCACAGCCGCTGCTGAGGGGGGAAGGCTGGCTTCCGCGGCGGCCAGGCGTTGCGGCAGTGCAGCTGGATTGGTAGGGTCCGCGTCGAGCAGTGGCGCAAGTTCAGCCACCTCCTGGTGTAGCTTGGAGCCAAGGGAGCGCAGGAGGTGGGCCGTTGCGACGGCCGACGCCAGGTAGGCGTAGGAGCCTTCCGTGCTTGGGTCGGTGAGTCCCAGGCCTCCTATGGTGGTGGGGAGGCTGGCCTGGTTCCAGATCCGTTCCTTCTCCGCCTGCGCGCGCGGCTCTGAGATTTGCGCCGCAGCAAGCAGAGTGTGTAGCAGTCGTTCACCCCACGCGGACCATTCAGCTGTGGGCAGGAGGGCCAGAGGTGTGGTGCGGGCGAGGAAGGAGGCTCTCCGGCTGATGCAGCGGGTGAGCAGGAGGTAGGAGAGTTGGGGATCCATGCGGCCCACTAGTGGCAGCGGAGAGCTTGCTGTAGCGAGCTTTTCCCGCAGCTGCGTGGCACAGCCGTCGGCCGTTCCGACTGGGCTGCCGAGGACCCGCAAGCCGGCGCGGTTGAAGCGGATCCCAGTGGGGAGGTCGGCGTCGTTCATGGGGCCAGGTGACCAGGCTGCGCACTTTGCAGGGTTGTGGGCCAGGCCGATGGGGAGGAGGTCGGCCGTGAGGTGGTTGAAGGCGGAGGTGCAGGCGGACGCGGGGCCGAGGAATGTGATATCGTCGGCGTAGGCGATGATGACGATGTTCGGAAACGCAGCGGCGGTGGCGGTAAGTGAGCGTTGGATACCAGCCGCAAAGAGTAGCGGCCCCATTGGGTCGCCCTGGCGGACTCCACGCGCGCTTGTTGGAGAAGCTGCGTTGAAGCCCGCGTCCACTTGCAGTGTGGAGGCGGAGCCGTATGTGAGTCTAACGAAGGGGAGCAGGGGGGCGAGTGGGGTGGATTGCAGGCCTTCGAAGACGGCTGCTCTTTCTATGGCGTTGAAGGCATTGGCTATGTCCATCTGGAGTGCGATCGCGGTAGGTTTTTCCTCCAGGTATGTGCGGATGATATGGATGGCAGCTTCCGTCCCCCCAGGTACTGCTACGCCGAGTTGGAGCGGTGTGAAGAAGTCTCGAGCGGCCGCGCCGGTCAGGTAAAGTGCACATTTCGCGATAAGGCGGTGAAGGCACTCGCCAACTGCTATGGGGCGGATCCCTCCTCCAGGTTTGACGAATGCAACCAGACGTGAGACTGTGAGTAGCGATGCTGCCTCGGGACTCAGCTGGCCTGCGAGAGCCGTGTTGGTGAGTGCGTGGAGGTGTTGGCATACATCTGGGTTCCCAAGAGCAGCATCACGGAGGTGTTCGAAGGTTGTGCCTGAGGGCCCAGCTCCAACTCCGTTGGGGCATT